CCTTTGAGGTTTTTTGACACTTTCTATCTTCTCTATGATTGATTCATCAATGGTACAACATGTACATAGTTGTGTTATTCTTTGCACTCGTTTGCTTCGGGATCTCGACAAGGCCTTCATCTGCGTACCAAATTAATTTCATAAAAAAATTAATATTTGAAAATTAAAATGCAAAAAAAAAATATATATATATATATATTTTTTAAAGATGATATATTCAATGTATGTTAAAAAAGTTCAAGCCAAACTTGTTTTTATAGAAGATTTTCAAAGCTATTTGGTTTAATTAATCTGTTAAAAGATTCTTTTAATGCTGTTAAAAGTGCGGTTTTAATCTGTTAAAACTTCTTTTAATCCATTAATACGTTCTTGATTCTTTAACGATTTGTTTTAACCGATACGACAACGTTTATATCAATTAAAACACTTTACAAAAAATCTTCTAAGTTGATTTAATCGATTGTTTGCGATTCAATCGATTGAAATACTTGCAAAACTTTCTCCTAAAACTTTTCAAGTTATTTTAAGCGATAAAAATAAGTTTTAATCGATTAAAACATCTGTCAGAAGCTGTTTTAATCGATTGAAACGAGATTTAATCGATTAAAATAGTTATGATCAGTCATAATTGCATTCTGACCGATCATAATGGAAACAATATAATAGCGGTTCAACGATTAACCGTTATCTAAGTGAGCTTTTAAGAGCGGTTCTGTGTAACCGCTATCTAAACGATATTTCGCTTGAGCGACAACTTTCTCGCTCGAGCGAAACGCCCCTGCACAAAATTGGTACTCTCGGGTTGTATTTCAGCTTGAGCGAGTCTAGTCTCGCTCGAGCGATAATTTATTCTGATCGATTATATTTTCGAAATGATCGATCATATTTGATAATTTTTTCAAATAATTAATTATAATCGATTAGTTTTCTAAATTATTGATTAGAATTGATTAGTTTTTCAAATAATAGATTAGAATTGATTAATTTCTGAAATATATACTAAAAAATTATAATTAAAACTATAAATTAGTTAAGAATATTGACTATTGTAAAGATAAAGTAGAACATGGGAGGAGATGATGATGATAATATAATGATAGAACTTACAAAAATGTAGAATTGAGAAGTTTGAAACAAATAAAATTAAGAAAATAGATATTTAATTACACTGTTAATAAATTTAAGATAATACTAGTTTTGATTTTTTTTAATATTTTTTTTAATTATTTAAAACAGAGAAACTATAATTTTAGTTTCTAACTACTTGAATTTAAAGAATTAAATTTATTATTATTTAATCTTTTAATTTTAGTATTAAAATTTTAAATTATATTTTATTAAATTAAAATAATTACAATATATTTTTCTACTTTGAGAATGAACAATATAATTAAACTCAAAATTGACAATGTTATAATACATTTTTGAACTGTTTTGGATTAATTTTTTTCCTAATTTTTGATAAAGTTAATTTTAATATTTAAAAGTATTTAACATTTTGAATTCTAAAAGGTTTTCTCTAATAGAAAATTTAAAAACATAATATAAAAAAATAGTTAATATAAGTTTTCAAGTTATTTTAAGCTGATAAAAATAAGTTTTAATCGATTAAAACGTCGTGCAGAAATTGTTTTAATCGATTGAAACTAGATTTTAATCGATTAAAATAGTTATGATCGGTCATAATTGCATTCTGACCGATCATAATGGAAACCATATAATAGCGGTTCAACGGTTAACCGCTATCTAAGTCGAGTTTTAAGAGCGGTTCTTGTGTAACCGCTATCTAAACTGATTTCGCTTGAGCGATAACTTTCTCGCTCGAGCGAAAAGCCCCCTGCACAAAATTGGTACTCTCGGGTTGTATTTCGCTTGAGCGAGTCTAGTCTCGCTCGAGCGATAATTGATTCTGATCGATTATATTTTCGAAATGATCGATCATATTTGATAATTTTTTCAAATAATTAATTATAATCGATTAGTTTTCTAAATTATTGATTAGAATTGATTAGTTTTGCAAATAATAGATTAGAATTGATTAATTTCTGAAATATATACTAAAAAATTATAATTAAAACTATAAATTAGTTAAGAATATTGACTATTGTAAAGATAAAGTAGAACATATGAGGAGATGAGGATGATAATATAATGATAGAACTTACAAAAATGTAGAATTGAGAAGTTTGAAACAAATAAAATTAAGAAAATAGATATTTAATTATACTTTTAATAAATTTAAGATAATACTAGTTTTGATTTTTTTTTAATATTTTTTTTAATTATTTAAAACAGAGAAACTATAATTTTAGTTTCTAACTATCGAATTTAAAGAATTAAATTTATTATTATTTAATCTTTTAATTTTAGTATTAAAATTTTAAATTATATTTTATTAAATTAAAATAATTACAATATATTTTTCTACTTTGAGAATGAACAATATAATTAAACTCAAAATTGACAATGTTATAATACAATTTTGAACTGTTTTTGATTAATTTCTTTTTCCTAATTTTTGATAAAGTTAATTTTAATATTTAAAAGTATTTAATATTTTGAATTCTAAAAGGTTTTCTCTAATAGAAAATTTAAAAACATAATATAAAAAAATAGTTAATATAAGTTTTCAAGTTATTTTAACCGATAAAAATAAGTTTTAATCGATTAAAACGTTGCGTAGAAATTGTTTTAATCGATTGAAACTAGATTTTAATCGATTAAAATAGTTATGATCGGTCATAATTGCATTCCGACCGATCATAATGGAAACCATATAATAGCGGTTCAACGGTTAACCGCTATCTAAGTGAGTTTTAAGAGCGGTTCTCGTGTAACCGCTATCTAAACTCGTGTTTCGCTTGAGCGACAACTTTCTCGCTCGAGCGAAACGCCCTCGCACAAAATTGGTACTCTCGGGTTGTATTTCGCTTGAGCGAGTATAGTCTCGCTCGAGCGATAATTGATTCTGATCCATTATATTTTTGAAATGATCGATCATATTTGATAATTTTTTCAAATAATTAATTATAATCGATTAGTTTTCTAAATTATTGATTAGAATTGATTAGTTTTTCAAATAATAGATTAGAATTGATTAATTTCGAAATATATACTAAAAAATTATAATTAAAACTATAAATTAGTTAAGAATATTGACTATTGTAAAGATAAAGTAGAACATGGGAGGAGATGAGGATGATATAATATAATGATAGAACTTACAAAAATGTAGAATTGAGAAGTTTAAAAAAAATTAAGAAAATAGAGATTTAATTATACTTTTAATAAATTTAAGATAATACTAGTTTTTAAACCTTTTTCTAATATTTGTTTTTAAAAATATAATATCATTTTTAATATTTTATAGATTTTATATTTATATATTTATAAAAGTAATTGGATTAAATTTATTATCCTCTCATATATTATTATACATTTAGCGTAATTTTAGTTTATTTAAAAATTAGAATACAAATATACTATACCAATATACCATTATATTATTTTCATTGTATATAAATTACAAAATTAATAATTTGTATACTATACTATACTAACATATTATTTGTATACTATACTAATAGTATAATATATTATATTATAATATTATTTGTATACAAAACTAATATCTTTATATATAAATATATAAATATGGAAAGATATAAATATATGTAAAAATATAAACATATAAATATATATAAATATGTAAAGATATAAACATATATCTTTAATATTTTGTAAATGTAAATATATAATTTATATATATTTTTAAATCTTTTTCTAATATTTATTTTTAAAAATATAATATTATTTTTAAAATTTAATATTTTTTTTCAAATATATAAATATATAAAGATATAAATGTATAAGGATATAAATAAATATATAAATATATCAAAATATAAAAATATAAAAATATAAAAATATAAATATATTAATATATAAATATATCAATATATAAATATATAAATATATATAAATATATATATATATATATATATATATATATATATACAAATATATCAATATTATCCCCTCATATATTAATATACATTATTAGCATAATTTTAATTTAATTAAAAATTAGAATACAAATATACGATACTATACTAATATACCATTATTTGTAGATTTTATATATTAAAATATATAAATATATTTTTATTTATAGATTTTATATTTATATATTTATACGGATATACATTTATTTGTATATAAATATAATTTATTTGTAAGTTATTATTAAAAGATCCTAAGTAGCTCAGTGGTTGGAGTTTCGACCTCCAACTCTAAGGTACCGGGTTCGAATCCGACAATGACAATAAACCACCTAATAATAAGTTAAACTTCTAAAAAATATAATAAAGATAGGGAAATAAATATAAATAAAAACTTAAATAAGCAAAATATAATATAATTAAGAGATAGGGAAAATAAATAATAGATATAATAAAAGTGTAAATAAATAAAAAGAATTAAATTTGTTATTGATTAACTTTTTCATTGATTTAGTGACCGATTCAGATGACCGATTTGGTTATATATAATCGGTCATCTGAATCGATCACTAAAATCGATGACCAAGGAAATAGTGACCGATTCCAGTTGGTCACTATTTCGGTCACTATTTTAATTAAGTAACCGATTTTGCAGATTTAGTGACCGAATTTTCGGTCACTATTTGATGTTTTTCTTGTAGTGAAATTACATTTGTATATTTAAAGAGAGCTTCTTAAAACCCTAGTATTATCTGGCTAGAATCAAAATAATAACTTTCAAAATCGTAATATTAACTATCACAGTATCAACAAAATTAAAATATTTCAAGAAACTTTTAAATTAATTATCTTTTATATAATTTTATTCAACAGTATTTGATACTTGTACTTGTTCCCCAGCACAGAGGTGAGTAGGGAAAAATCCATGTTGAAAATGAGCTTAGCCAGGTTTTAAGGGAAAAATATAATTACATTTTGGCTTAGGAATAATAGGATTACTCAAACTCTGGCTGATATGTTGTCAACGAGTCTGTGACATGCTTTCACTTCCATTGTATAAGCCTCTGTGACATGCTTTTCACTTCCATTAAGCCGAGCCGATGACTCAAGACTCGTCAGGTACGTTGTACACGAGTTTGTGGCTGATAAGTACGTGGGACAAGTTCCTTGAAATACTCATTTATTTAAATTTTTAGAAACTGCATCCGAGATTTTCCAAAGTCAAAACAAGAAGAAATAGAATTTCAGCTAGTACTCCAAAAGAAGTAAAGTCAAATCTTTCTCTATTTTTTATTTCTAATATCATTGTTTCCCTTTTTATAATATATTTTTTTAGAAGAGATAGAAAAGAATCATTTTCAACGTCCTAATCTAATGACAACTCAAAGAATAATTTAAATGCTTTCAATCCATCTTGATGCTCTTAATTTGGTGAATGAATTTCGAAAATTCATCTACTTAAAGTGACTATCGAGATTCCAAATAAGGAGAGAGAATTTCTTATTTTTTTGAATAAGATCACATTACTCCACTCAAGTACTCCACCTAATTTTGAGGACGAAGTTGGTACAGTCATCAATTTTTTCAATGAAATATCTTCGTTGAAGAAGAAGAAATTAACGTTGAACATGTAGAAGATCAAAATTGAAGTTGTTCGAGTTAACCAGGTGGAAATGTTGAATTAAAATAAGTCTAGATTGAAGATTGTTAAACTTGAAAATTCAGTAAACACCATTCCATTAACCGAACAAAAGGCTAAGTAAGCAAATCTCAGACAACGTCCACAAGCAACTTCAAATTTTTAAGACCAATATGGCAAAGCTTTTTATCATATCAGCAACACTTACACTTAAGAAGAAGATGAATCATAAAATCTAATATGCAAATTGCTCTGTCTTTGAAGGCTGATTTGATTAACCTCACTGATAAAGAGCAGAAAATGTATGCTAGTGAAGTTCAATCAACTTCGATAAGAGAATAATGCTCAGTCTTTTGGTAGATTAAACATTTTATATATTAACAAATTACTTTATTATATTTATCTTACTCCAATATAATTTTGTTTCCTTTCAATTACCTGAATTCATATATATGTTCTAAACGTTTTTAAATACTGTTTATTATAACATGTGTGTTGTAGATGCATTCATTCCAGCGGAAAATAAATTATGTTGAGTAATTTCAATTAATTAAAAAGTATTTTTTAAATAATAATGAATGTAAGTTATATACGGATCAATTATTGACTTGTATTATAAAATTGTTTAGAATGCATACTAAAAATTATTTCCTACCACTGAAAAAGTTTGTTCAAGACCTTAAAAATAATTCTTCACAAACAATATTTTACCTATGTAACTTTCACATAATTTTTAACCATTATACTTTATGCAAGAGATTAAAACTGAAAATAACGAAAACTATGTTTAAGTTGAGAGTTTTTGGAAAAAACAATAAAAAAGTACAAGAATTATAACAATAATATTTAAAAATATTTATGAGTTAAATATTTGCTAATAGTAATTTTTATTCAATACAAAATTATTAAATTATTTAAAATAAAAAAAAATCATTCGTTTTAAATAGTAGAAGATAATAACAATAGTTACATCCCAATTGTATTCACTGATTAATGACAAATTATAACTCATGTGGGCATGTAGTGATTCCTAGGCCATTTCATCTAACAAGTAGATATTATATTGTGATTTTCTACAAAATTATATTTGATTATAACTTATTTTATATAACACTACAGATTAATTTTTTGAAAAAAGAAGAAGAAGTAAAACAAATATTAACAAACCATTACTTGATATATTAGAAGATATCATATATTAAAAAATATAAAGTATTTTTGTGTTATTAATAATTTAATATTTAAAATTAGAGTAAATAAAGCATATGCCGTACGACAGTGAGCATGAGATGGGAACTCATCATTCATAATGAATCCGACGTTGCCTATGTCGCACGTCACTCATCAAATGCATAACGTTTTCTTCATCATGTTTCAATGAAGTAAAAAGACAATTTATTGAACTTTAAAAGGTGGATTGAAATTTTATATATACTAAATAGAATTAGATTGTAAGGTTTTAAAGGAAAAAAATATTTTTTTTGGTTGAAGTGTGATCTATTTGATTTACTCATATTCAGAATTTTAAAAATAAGTTTAATTATAAGTTTACACAATTTTACCAACTTAAAACACTATTTTGTCTAAAATTTGAGAGTGTTATGATCATAAGATTAATTATTATGTTTATTTTAAAATTAAATATGTTATAATTTTGTTTATAAAAGATATTTAATAATATATATATATATATATATATTGTATATTTGAAAATCAAAATGATTAAACACTAAAATTAATTAAAGATTATAAAATATACTATTAAATATTTGAATTGAAGTTCAATATATTATTAGGTATTTTTAAGGAGAGATTCACTAAAAAAAATACAACACAAAGTCCACTTATCTAAGGAATTGAAAACCTTAACATCAATAAAATACCTTAAAATATAAGGAATTGAAAACCTTAACATCAATAAAATATCCTAAAATATAAGAAATTAATATTATTCTAGACAAAAAACCTAATATTATGTTTTTTTTTCTTATATGTTCTTAACTTTTTTATTCTTATCTAATAAGACTTAAACTCACTTAAATTTCTCAAATATAAATAAATATGCAACCTTTTTTTATATACATAAATAAATTCAAAAATTTTCCCATCATTTAAATATAAAGATCCTCTAATTCAAAGTATTAAAGATAAAACCAAACTGAAAAAAAAAAAAAATATATATATATATATATATATATATATATATATATATATATAAAAGTTAGACAAGAGATTAAAATAATCACTCATAAAATATTATTAAAATCAATTGTTTAGAATTAAATAAACAAAAGTTTTTTTGGAAAATTTATGTATTAATTTAGATAAATATTTGCACAGTTAGTTTTTTTATTTAACTTAAATTGAAATAATTTTAGATAAATTTTATTATGAATTTATTGCTATAACAAATACAAATCACTGACAATTTAAAATAAATTTTAACTAAAATTTATTTTACAGAGCCAATTAAATAATTTAAACTCCATTTCACCAATAAACACAGGTTCAGTGATTATTTGATGATAGAATGCAACACTTAGCAGTATAGGCAGGAGCCCTGCATCATCATATTTTTAACTTCAATATATGCATCTTCTTCACTTGTTAGGTTAACCCTCGTTAGAAAAAGAACAAGAATAACATTTTTACACGATACTTAAGACATTATTCCTGTTTCATAATTAAAGTTACTTAATGGTGGTGTTATGTGAAGATTCGTGTGGTTAGCGTTTTGCTGTTTACGGAATTCCAATTTTGGCTGAAAAAGAAACTAATCTTGATGAACTAGATATTATTAAAGTTTGAGAAAATGAAAATGAGAATAGCATAAAGAAAAGGACGTTCTGTTGTATTATCAAAAAAAAATAAAAATTGTCATAAGCTTTGCAGAAGATAATGAAAATTTAATAGTAATAGAAAGCGAAGGTAGGGATTTGTAGCTCCACATTTAAAGAACATATATGGTAATATATAAAACCACCAGTCCCTGTCTCGTCATCATCAACCTATTCTTATTATATTGATTATTCACTTTAATATGGGGTCCCTGTGATCAATAATTCCCCGTATACCTTTGTTTATCACTTTATTTAATTAGAGAATGATTTTATGATCATCCACAAAAACTTAATTAAATATTCTTCCACTTCATCAATATCTATTATTTACTCTCCTCGTGATATCTGGTTGAGCGCTCTTAAATTAATGTACCATACCTTCTGTATCTTCTCATCTCCCTCTCTTTTTATTTTATTTAAGTAAAAAATATAAAATTTGGTCATTGTTTATCTTTTTTCTATGATTTCTTCCAAAAGATTTTCAAGGGCTATTATGCAGTAGAAACTCTATACGCGTCATCAATCTCATTCGTGAGATGAAACCTTGGTCGTACCCATCTTCTGTTGGCATATTCTTTAGGGTTTCATTTTTCAAACTTTCAACCTGTCTTATTCTTTTTCAGGACAGTTGGGCGTTTCAATTATTATTTCCTTCACCTTTTTTTTTTTTTCAGGGCTCGTTATATTCACATTGAATATTTATATTATTATTATTTTTCATCTATCTTTTCCCACCATTTCATATTTCATCACTTTTACTTTATAACATTTTGAACCAAAGTTTTGTAAAAAGTGAACACAATTAATTTTCTTAATTCTATATGTTGGAAAACAGCGTGTACAATCGTTGTAGGGTACGATGATGTATCCATATCCATATATGTTGGGGATCTGCATGAAGGTGTAGCTGTCATGGTCCTGCTTGCAAAGACAAGTGGCTCCCAATCCTATATCTGTCATCATTGACTTCAAAAAGGGAATAAGTAAAAGTGAAGAAGAAACAGTCTTCTCTACCGATTAGGTCAAACCAAGAACCCTAAGAAAGCTTTTCTGGCAACTGAGTCTAATTCAAGGATTTAGTTTACACCCATTACAAAATTTGAATCTCTATCAAAACTTTCTTTTGGTATCAATTATGATTAAGTCAGCCAAAAACTTAAACCACGTCGTGAATCGTGATGGTAGTTCACAGTCACAATTGAACGCTATTCATTAATAATTACTCGTCTGGTCAATCTTCATTCTTTGTTGAGGAATTCAATATTGTATCACAGTGTTAGTGTCGCTTTAATCACAAATTTCAACCTGTTGTTTTCTTTCTGGAGCTGATCATGATAACGATGAATTGATTTCTGTAACACAATACCTGAGTCAATCTGATTAAGTCATAGTGAAAATTATTGGTACATAGTTCTTATATCTACTTAAGGAGAAACAATGTCAACATTTGTTCTGTTCTGTATCGACAAAAATTAACTTACAGTGAAACCATAACAACATACACTAATAGTCCTATGTATTCATGTTTCATTTAATTTGTTATACAATGTTATTATGTCGGCTAGTTTTGATTTAAATTATTTTGGTGTTGGTGTTATAATTACCATATTTTTTTTATGAGTTAAAAAAATATAAATTTTTTTACCAGTCTATACGTACGGTGATGACAGTACCTAACAACGGAATTACGGAAAACTACTTTTAATGTGATTAATAAATTTTGCATTTAAAAACAAAAAAGCTTTGTAATAAATATATGTGCATATTAATTGTTGTGATATTTAATGTTATATGTATACACTTCTTTTAATGCTTTTATTATTGAAATAGGTATTGTTGGTGGAAGGTAGATTATGAAATTTATTTTTTCTTTCTTCTGTTGTGAACTTGGCAGAATGTTGCGTATCTGATCTTAAAGGAAGATTCAGTGGAGGAAGAGATGTTATTTCCCACCAATAAATGAACTTGGTGTGCAAGAAGAAGAAAAAAAAACAGTGGAATTATTCTTAAATTAAATAAACCATCTTATCCCAGTGTTGGGTATGTAGCGGTGCTAGAACTAAATTTGAATACTCATGATGCTTGATATAGAATGTGATGAATGAATCTTATTCATTGTCAATAAATTTATGTGGGTATTTAGATTTAGGTTCCAGCATCTCAGAAATATGTTCTTCTCAATTTATTATTATTTTAACACCTTTGATCGTATAAGAATTGTTATCAAACACACTCTGTTTGTAAATAAAAAACATAATATTTCACAAAGCCATTTGCTTAATAATATGCTTATATTTAAATTATTTTAGAGCATTTTTAATTTGTTTAATTTTTTCTGTATTTTTAACATTAGATTTATAATTAAACGAGGAAATGTAACAACATTCTCACAATAAGTAATATATTAAAATACTTAATAATATAAATATATTTAATTATTTATATTGTTTAAAAAATTTATCACATTTTATAAGATTTTTTATATATATTTTAAATAAGATATCTAAAATATACAATTTTTCATGTTTTCCTTAATTAGTTCAATCTAAAATATTATTTACATATGTAACAAATCAATTATTGCAATTTAGATCAATATACCATACAAATTAAAGATAAGTTAGTAATAAAACTTTTCATTTCATATAATTATAAAAAATATTTTTAATATCATATATCATAAATCAAATATAACGTATATATAATTAATCAAATATATAATATCTCAATCTAAAAAGTTAAATCTCGTATCATTATGTATTAATTAATATTCAACATTATAGTCACTTGATGATACTTGTCATACTGACTCTATACTTGTTCATAAGTAGTTTGTTAGATATATTTTTTTCTTTTCACATGACAATAAGCTGTTGAGAATTTTTTTTTCAAATGTACATGCACTCAGTATCAATAGAATTAAGATATTTCCCTAAAAATTTTAAGTTGAATACATCACTTTAATCTCGTCATAGTATTTTCTCAATTGAAAATCATTATGTTAACTAATATACATAACTTAAGTATAAGGATGCTTCACATTATTTTTTTAAATTACAATAAAATATTTTTCTCTACATATAATAACAATATATTTATTGCTAAGAGGAAAAAAATTAATACATTTCTAAGTTTCATCATTAATACATTTATACATTACTACGTATATATCAGTATCAGTACGTAGTCATGTAAACCTCTCTACTTTTATTCAAATATTTTATTGATTTTTTTTTTTCTTGTGTTTGTAGGAATCAACATTATCTTTGGATCTCCCTGTTCGACCATGATCCAAGTTTCGGACGAGAAAATCGAAGCTATTATTTTAAAGGAGATCATTTAAGATTGATGGGCCACTAAAAAATTCATTTAAAGTTGATACAAGTGAATAATTTGTTGAAATGGTAAAACGGGTCACTCCGATCGTTTAAACAGTTCGTCCTGTTTACCGGGTTACTCCGCTTTTGGTTTGCTAAAATTATAATTGAACGCAAATAAAATTGAAATTGAAGCTGCTTGAATTGAAAAGATAGAAGTGTTAATCAAAACAAGTGTAGGTTTAAAACTAGAAAGAAAAAAATCTATCATCAATATCAAAAAGATTTCACAATAAAGAAAAATCATCAAATTTAATCCCTACTTTCAAAAATATGTCAATTTAGTTCATTTCGATAATAAAGAACAACATCAATCAATATTTTTTTTATCAATTACTTAGTATCATTATGAGGTTGAAGAATAAAATTAGTTTTTTTATGTGAAACATTTTGTATATTAATAAATAATTTTATTGTATTTATTTTTTATATAATGTTTCTAAACACTTGTACTTAAATTATAACATCCTCCGGCAAAATAAATTATATTGAATTATTTCAATTAATTAAAAAGTATTTTAAATAATAATAATAATAATAATAATAATAAATTAATTTTTAAATAATAAATAAATTATTTACTCGTATTATAAAATGGTTAAGAATACATAAGATTGAACTAAAGAAAAAAAATAAAGAATATATATATATAATAATAAAATAGAATTATTATAACTCGAACAAAATCTAAGAAAAAAAATGACAGCTAAAAGTAAGGTTCAATAAGTTGTTGTACCCTTGTATTTGTTATTGGGTTGGTTAATCATACCTGGGCCGATCTCGTAACTTTTGGTGATTTTTTTTCATATACTTCCTAGTATAATATATATTTATTTATTTATTTCTTGCACGCATCACAAAAACAACGATGAAATTATGACCTTCTGTCATTAAACAAAAATGACCAGCCTAGCATGTTCACGGAAATCATGACCTACTCTCATAAAATCATGTTGGAATTAATCATGTAATCAAATAAATTTTATCAATAGCTTAGACAGTATTTATTCATCATAAGATGGTTCTCATACAGAATCACCAATTAATTAAAAATAAAATAAAATTATATAGGCATAAAAAAAATTTATAAAGAAAATTAATTCACATTCAATAGAATTAAGTACATCAAAATAAATTAAATTGACATATTTAAGCCTTCATATATTGAATCTTATTCAAAATTTCTTCGAATTCTTTCTTCACTACTAAGTATAAAGCTTTCCTATTCAACATTCATCTCTTGACCTCTATATTCACTTTTCGTATTATTCAAAATTTCTGATTTGAACCCAGTATCTTAGAGTTAAAAGTTGATACTCTAACCACTAAACTACTCGAATTTTCACACAATAACTTACAAATAAATTATATTTATATACAAATAAATATATATCCATGTAAATATATAAATATATAAATACAAATATATTTATATATTTTGATATATTTATATAGTTACAAATATATTTATATATTTATATGTTGGATGTGAGGGTACGTTCCAAGGTAAAAGTGTGTGTCAAGTGAATTTTCAAAATTTGATGACAAAGTTGTGAGGGGTCTCTTTATATGACTTTGTAATTTAATGACAGAATATAATATTTATAATTTATTTATATAATGATATAAAATAAATTTGGGAAACGCGTCATTCGCTCAAGCAAAAATACCAATTTTCACTCAAGCGATGCTTGAGCGAGTGAATTTCCATGAGCTTTAACGTATTTTCACTCAAGTATCGGTTTTCAACTCTAAAATACTCGAGTTTGAATCCTGTTAGTGACAATTCTTTAACTTAAGTAAATTTTTAGCTGAAAAAAAAATAAAAACACTTTCCAAAAAATATATACAAATAAATATATATTTACAAAATATATATTTATTTGTATATAAATATAATTTATTTGTAAATTATTATTAGAAAATTATAGTAGTTTAGTGGTTGGAGTATCAACTTTCAACTCTAAAATACTCGGGTTCAAATTCTGTCGGTGACAATTTTCTAACTTAATTCGGGAAGTAAATGAATGATACGAAAAACGCATAAAGGAAAAGGTACAGGAGAAGAGGAAGTAAATAAATGATACTGATACAAAAACAGTACAAAAGGAAGTAAATGAATGATATGAAAAGGTTACAGGAGAAGAGGAAGTAAATGAATGATACGAAAACATTACAAGAGGAAGTAAATGAATGATACGAAGAGCATAAAGGAAAGGGTATAGGAGAAGAGGAATAAATGAATGTTACGAAAACAGCACAAGAGGAAGTAAATGAATGATACGAAGAGCATAAAGGAAAGGGTACAAGAGAAGAGGAATAAATGAATGATACGAAAACAGTACAGGAGAAGAGCATAAAGGAAAGGGTACACGAGAAGAGGAAGTAAATGAATGATACGTAAAGCAAGGAAAGGGTATAGGAGAGGAGAGTACAGGAGAAGACGAGCATAAAAGAAAGGGTATAGGAGAATAGGAAGTAAATGAATGATACAAAAAGGTACAGGAGAAGAGAAAGTAAATGAATGATACGAAAAGGTTACAGGAGAAGAGTATAAAGGAAAGGGTACAACAGAAGAGAAGAGGAGTAAATGAATGATACGAAAAGGGTATAGGAGAAGAGTATAAAGGAAATGGTACAACAGAAGAGAAGAGGAGTAAATGAATGATACGAAAAGGGTACAGGAGAAAAGTATAAAGGAAAGGGTACAACAGAAGAGAAGAGGAGTAAATGAATGATACGAAAATAGTACAGGAGAAGAGCATAAAGGAAAGGGTACAGGGGAAGAGGAATAAATGAATGATACGAAAATAGTACAGGAGATGAGCATAAAGGAAAGGGTACAAGAGAAGAGGAAGTAAATGAATGATACATAATGAGCATGAAAGAAAGGGTATAAGAGAACAGGAAGTAAATGAATGATACGAAAAGGGTACAGGAGAAGAGGAAGTAAATGAATGTTACGAAAATGGTACAGGAGAAGAGGAAGTAAATGAATCTTACGAAAAGGGTACAGGAGAAGAGGAAGTAAATGAATGATACGAAATGGTTACAGGAGAAGAGCATAAAGGAAAGGGTACAACAAAAGAGAAGATGAGTAAATGCATGATACGAAAATGGTACAGGAGAAGAGGAAGTAAATGAATGATACGAAAATAGTACAGGAGAAGAGTATAAAGGAAAGGGTACAATAGAAGAGAAGAGGAGTAAATGAATGATACGAAAATAGTACAGGAGAAGAGCATAAAGGAAAGGATACAGGAGAAGAGGAAGTAAATGAATGATACAAAAAGGTTATAGTAGAAGAGGAAGTAAATGAATGATACGAAAAAGGTACAGGAGAAGAGGAAGTAAATAAATGATACGAAAACAGTACAGGAGAAGAGCATAAAGGAAAGGATACACGAGAAGAGGAAGTAAATGAATGATACGTAAAGCAAGGAAAGGGTATAAGAGAGGAGAGTACAGGAGAAGACGAGCATAAAAGAAAGGGTATAGGAGAAGAGGAAGTAAATGAATGATACAAAAAGGGTACAGGAGAAGAGAAAGTAAATGAATGATACGAAAAGGTTACAGGAGAAGAGTATAAAGGAAAGGGTACAACAGAAGAGAAGATGAGTAAATGAATGATACGAAAAGGGTACAGGAGAAGAGTATAAAGGAAAGGGTACAACAGAAGAGAAGAGGAGTAAATGAATGATACGAAAAGGGTACAGGAGAAGAGTATAAAGGAAAGGGTACAACAGAAGAGAAGAGGAGTAAATGAATGATACGAAAACAGTACAGGAGAAGAGCATAAAGGAAAGGGTACAGGGGAAGAGGAATAAATGAATGATACGAAAACAGTACAGGAGAAGAGCATAAAGGAAAGGGTACAAGAGAAGAGGAAGTAAATGAATGATACGTAATGAGCATAAAAGAAAGGGTATAAGAGAAGAGGAAGTAAATGAATGATACGAAAAGGGTACAGGAGAAGAGGAAGTAAATGAATGATACGAAATGGTTATAGGAGAAGAGCATAAAGGAAAGGGTACAACAAAAGAGAAGATGAGTAAATGCATGATACGAAAATCGTACAGGAGAAGAGGAAGTAAATGAATGATATGATAATAGTACAGGAGAAGAGTATAAAGGAAAGGGTACAATAGAAGAGAAGAGGAGTAAATGAATGATATGAAAATAGTACAGGAGAAGAGCATAAAGGAAAGGGTACAGGAGAAGAGGAAGTAAATGAATGATACGTAACGCGCATAAAAGAAAGGGTATAGGAGAAGAGGAAGTAAATGAATGATACAAAAAGGTTATAGTAGAAGAGGAAGTAAATGAATGATAAGAAAAAGGTACAGGAGAAGAGGAAGTAAATAAATGATACGAAAACAGTACAGGAGAAGAGCATAAAGAAAAGGGTACAGGAAAAGAGGAAGTAAATGAATGATACGAAATGGTTACAGGAGAAGAGCATAAAGGAAAGGGTACAACAGAAGAGAAGAGGAGTAAATGCATGATACGAAAATGGTACAGGAGAAGAGGAAGTAAATGAATGATACAAAAATAGTACAGGAGAAGAGTATAAAGGAAAGGGTACAACAGAAGAGAAGAGGAGTAAATGAATGATACGAAAATAGTACAGGAGAATAGCATAAAGGAAAGGGTACAGGAGAAGAGGAAGTAAATGAATGATACGTAACGCGCATAAAAGAAAGGGTATAGGAGAAGAGGAAGTAAATGAATGATACGAAAAAGGTACAGCAGAAGAGGAAGTAAATAAATGATACGAAAACAGTACAGGAGAAGAGCATAAAGAAAAGGGTACAAGAGAAGAGGAAGTAAATGAATGATACGTAACGCGCATAAAGGAAAGGGTATAGGAGAAGAGGAAGTAAATGAATGATACATAATTCATAAAGGAAAGGGTAAAGTAAATGAATGATACGTAATCATATGTAACACATGCGTATTCTTATACCACCCCCAGTAGCCATCCAGCGTAGATGTAAAGTAAATGAATGATACGTAATCATACGTAACGCATGCATGCTCTTATACCACCCCCAGTAGCCGTCCAACGTAGATGTAAAGTAAATGAATGATATGTAACACATAAAGAAAAGGGTACAGGAGAAGAGGAAGTAAGGGTACAGGAGAAGAGGAAGTAAATGAATGATACGAAAATAGTACAGGAGAAGAGCATAAAGGAAAGGGTACAGGAGAAGAGGAAGTAAATGAATGATACGTAACGCATGAAGGAAAGGGTAAAGTAGATGAATGATATGTAATCATATGTAACGTGTGCGTGTTCTTATACCACCCCCAGTAGCCGTCCAGCGTAGATGTAAAGTAAATGAATGATACGTAACACATAAAGGAAAGGGTGACGTAAAGTAAATGAATGATAAGTAACGCATAAAGGAAAGATACGTAACGCGTGCGTGTTCTTATACCACCCCCAGTAGCCGTCCAGCATAGATGTAAAGGGTAAAGTAAATGAATGATACGTAACGCATAAAGGAAAAAGTGATGTAAAGTAGATGAGCGTAGATGTAAAGCGTGTTCTTATACCACCCCCAGTAGCCGTCCAACGTAGATGTAAAGGGTAAAGTAAGTGAATGATACGTAACGCATAAAGGAAAAGGTGATGTAAAATAAATGAATGATACGTAACACATAAAGGAAAGGGTAAAGTAAATGAATGATACGTAAGGCATAAAGGAAAGGGTGATGTAAAATAAATGAATGATACGTAACACATAAAGGAAAGGGTAAAGTAAATGAATGATACGTAACACATAAAGGAAAGGGTAAAACGTGCGTGTTTTTATACCACCCTCAGTAGATGTAAAGTAAATGAATGATACGTAACACATAAAGGAAAAGGTAAAGGGTAAAGTAAATGAATGATACGTAACACATAAAGGAAAGGGTGATGTAAAGTAAATGAATGATATGTAACGCATAAAGGAAAGGGTAAAGTAAATGAATGATACTTAATGCATAAAGGAAAGGGTAAAATGTGTGTGTTCTTATACCACCCCTAGTAGCCGTCCAGCATAGATGTAAAGTAAATGAATGATACGTGCGTGTTCTTATACCACCCCCAGTAGCCGTCTAGCGTAGATGTGCGCCCCCTCAATCTCTGACGCCCTCTTGAAGAGGTGGCCCCCATACAGCTCAGCCCAGATCTTGTGGCTGATCCTCTGGGGCTCGGTCGACATCTTGGCAGACCACCCCGAGATGTTAAAGTTGTAGTAGAGCGCCATCATGTTCCATCTCTCTGGGGGCTTTGTCAACTCTGCAACCCGTGCCATCCTAACGTCTATCTCCTGGATTGTGGGTGAAAAAAAAAAAAACGCTTTCCACGTCGGTTCATCTGGGAACCGACGTGGAAAGTACTTTCAACGTCGTCTCAGCTATAAACAACGTTAAATGACAACGTGAAAAAAATATATTTGTAGTAGTGCTTCTTGTTTGGAATTTCAATAATCACTTTTAAAGAGTTAGAGGAATTGAATTTTCTAAGTTAAAGACGTTAAGATGAATTAAGGACATCAAGATGAATTTAGGACGTCAGGTTGAATTAAAGATATAATTAAAGATAAAAGATGAATTAAATTAAGAACATCAAAATGAATTAAATACATGAATTAAGGACATAAAAAAGAATTAAGAGTTTCTCCATATTAGTTTTGAAAATCTCAATCTATTTTTCAATTTTATTAGTTGTTATTCCAAGTTTACAATTTTAGCCTTATCTTCCATCAAGAAAGTAACATTTTTTTATTGTATGAGCTTAATGGCCTCAAACCTAAACATCTTTTGACTCAAGTCTTCTCTTGTCTAATCTTGATCCGCTTTCATTTCCATCATCTTGGTGTTCAACGTTAATTTCTACATCTTTATTAAATATAGTTCGTTAAACAAATTAGTCGTTATATTCACTTCATTCTCAAAAAAATTTGATGGGAAATATTTAAGTGGAATAACTTGAATGTTATTCAAAATTTCTTCAAATTCTTTCTCCTTGTTTGAAATCTTGATAATTACTTCTAAAGAGGTAGAGGAAATGAATTTTCCAAATAAAAGACGTCAAGTTGAATTAAGGACGCCAAGTTGAATTAAGGACAAAATTAAGGATAAAAGATGAATTAAATTAAGCACATCAAAATGAATTAATTACATGAATTAAGGACATCAAGATGAATTAAGAGTTTTTCCTATGCAAAATAAAATTGTGTTTGTTATGGTCACCCAAGCCGTTTGAGAGCTAGTGTATGTTTCAGAGTAATTTTCTTTAGTTAAGATGATGTCATTGAAGTACACCAACACTGTGAAAGTTGTAGATGTCATTGTTGGTTGCAGTACCTTGTCACTGAGTTGATTAGTCGAACAACCTATAAGTTACTCTATTTATAGGACAATTGTTCACTTGGACCAACAACAATGATAATTCCACATACGAAATCTAATGGCTAAAAATGAACTTGTGGAGATGAACGCATATGATTTATATCCACACTATACGAGATCTGACCACAATGACGCGTGGAGACTTTAGTCCATGTGACAAAGTCCTCCAACTTTAATCTGAGAGTTGAAATTAAATCTATGGAGATGAATGCACATCATTTAAATCCACGTTGCACGAGGTCTGATAGGGTTTTATTAAAGCATGATCGTGTCATTATGGCTGAGCAGTATGCCTTATGTAGTTGATCCGAATCCTGTGCGTTCGATTATATATATATATATATATATATATATATATATATATTTCATAAATTAAAATAATATTTATCAACTTAAAAATAAATTATATTTACAATTAATATATATATATATATATATATTCTAAAATATTACAAAACATAAAAAAAATACAATTCAAAAATATAATTTTATATCAAAATATTATTTCATCTTATATACATATAATTTGTAAGATTTTTATTATCCTCCTAATTTATTATTAATTTCAAAAAAAATATTACAATATCAAATAAATCAAAGAACTAAAAAAATTTAATCATACAAATAAAATATAAATATAATATTTAATAATATCTTTTAAAAATATTATTTTACTACTTTCAACAATAAATCTAAATATATTATTAATCTAATAAATATATAAATATTTTAAAACTATAATTTAAAATTATAAATTTTAAATAAAATATTATAATATTATATATATATATATATATATATATATATATATATATATTAATTCATGTATTTTGAAAAAATAATTTTACTACCACAAACATAAGATTTTACTACCACAAACATGGTTGTTTTAGTGTATGTTTCCACTCGTCACATCTAAAATAATTAATCTCTCTAAATTTGACGACTTCTCACTAAAATCAGAAATCATTATATTATTCTTCATTAAATCTTTATCTTTCTTCCCAAATTTTTTCAACGTTGATTTGGGTAAGATATTCATTGTTGTTTCTCCATCAACAAGAACTTTATCTATCTTAATTTCTTCTATTTCTATTTTAACATAAAAAGTTTTAAATGAAACCACATTTCTTCAGTGAGTAGGTTAATAAAAACGATGTTTTGATTAGGGGTTTGCACAAAATTTGTGTAATCCACACAACTTTAGACTTGAGTTTTGATTCATAATAATCTTCTTGATATAAATCATTTTTTTCTAATGCTCCTCGTATCAATTTGCACATTGTATCATGTTCTGCTGATTAAGGTTTCCACTCATACCTTCTCCTTGATTAATCAAGGTTTTAGTATATATTTGATATGTTTGACTTGAACCACCTTTCTCCATATAAGTTCGATTTGTTATTTTACCTAATATTTCACATGTTTGTAATAATTCACAAGTATATGGTGATCTCACTTTAAGTTCAGCAAGATTAACTCTCTCATTATCACTTATATTATCTTCTTCGTCAACTTCTAAGATATCTGGTAACCTATCACCTGATGCACCACTATACCTTATTTTGTCCTCCTTATTTGGCTTATCAAATATTAGATGTCGTTCTTTTTCATATTTAATTTGTTTGATCCTTCGTACTTTATCAGTCAACTGTGTCATGTCTCTTAAAGGTAAATTTATTAACTTCTTTCTTATCGAAAATCTAATCCTGATGACACCATTCTCACTAATTTACATTCAAGTATTTGGGTGAAACATCTACATTTCATCTGTCGAAACCTATTCAAATAGTCATCAATGTTTCATGATGATATTTTTTCACATTCATTAGATTGGTTAAACTAACGTGTGCTTTTCCCTTAAATAATTGCTCGTGAAATTTTCTTTCTAATTGAATTCAATTATATATTGAATTTGAGGGAAGTGTTGTGAACCAAGTAAAAGTATTTTTCCTTAAAAAACTTGAGAAATAGCAATATGTTCTACCGTGGATTCTCCAATATAATTGTCAGCATAATTAGAGTAAAATTGAAAGAAAGAAGAGCGCTTAAGCGAATGACTGATGCGAGGCCCGACCCAAATTCTCTTATAAAAAGATAAGTTGTGTTTTGAGAAAAGAAGCAGTCTTGGAGGAGAGGAGGCACGACTACTGTTAGGGTTTTGTCTAATCTTCATCAATTCTTCACTTCTTTATCAATTGGAGCATTGTAATGGCCAACATGAGTGACTAACTTCATTCTCTTAGGATTCGGTGCACTTCCTTTGAACTTTTTTGTATCATGGTGATATTTTGAGATATTAATCTATGTTTTGATGTTGTTATTCTTATCCTTTATGCTTTGGAATGATTTATTCTTTATTGTTTGAGGTATGATTCGAAAATATATCTTGAACCCTAGATCACGGTAAGAATATTTGTTACATTAATTTCCAGGAATGGAATGAATGTATCAATTGCTTAAACACCCTAACCCTAATGCTGGAAAATCTGTTAATTGTGTGAGGAATTAACATTTATTAGGTTTTCTTATGAATTTCATGTGTGAGGAATCAACATGGATGATTTGAGTAGGTGGCATCAATATTATTAGGTTAATTGACGTTCTTAATTGACATAAGTCATTACAAAAGAGGGATAAGGAAGGAAGTCAATCCTAAGTATCTTTAATTGATATTTTCTCAACAATTTACAGTTCTTTGTCATTTAATTTCAATTCAACTCTTATTTGCAAAACTAAATCTGTTTAATATACTTAGTAAGCATAATTGCGAATTTTCATTGAAACTGTTCCTCGTGGGATCAACTTTTATTTTATCGAAATATTATACTGCGATTGATAATTTTAGTACGCTTGCCAATAATTCAACAAGTATTTCTAGGCGTCGTTGTCGGGAACAAGTGTTCTTTGAGAATTCTTTGTTTAGCTTATTGAGTATTTTATTTTTATTTCTATTTTTATTTTTATTATTATTATTATTATCATTATTATTATCATAATTATTATTATCATTATCATTATTATTATTATTATTATTATCATTATTATTATTATCATTATTATTATCATTATAATTATCATTATTATTATTATTATTATTATTATCATTATCATTATTATTATTATCATTATCATTATCATTATCATTATCACTATTATTATTACTATTACTATTACTATTACTATTATTATTATTATTATTTAGTTTTTAGTTTGTGTTAATATTTGCTTGAGTTACTCTTTTGATTTATGCGTTTAAGAGGATAGGTATCTTCAGAGCAATTAGAATTTAATCCAGAGATTGAAAAAACAGCTCGGAGGAACCGGAGTAGAAGAAGAAGGGAAACTCAAGAACAAGCTACAAGAGAATCTGTTAATTCTTCTTTCACACTTGATTTACCAGACACAATTATAGAATATATGGCGAAAGAAGGAGCAAATATGAATCCAAATCCAGATCCCAATATAAATCTAAATCAAAACCCAAATGCAAATCCACCTAGAAGAACTCTTAGAAATTGTGCTATGCAGCAAGGTCCAAGACATTTTTCCAGCATTGTCATTCCGGATGATTATACATTGCAGATGAATCCATCTTTCTTAAGCTTGATTAGTGCTCATCAATTCATTGGATTGGATCATGAAGACCCTTATATTCATTTGTCTACTTTTTATGAGTTGATTAATACCATGGGATTTAGAGCAACAAATCTTGAATCTGCATATTTAATATTATTTCCTTTTTCTTTGGCAGGTAGGGCAAAAGAATGGCTGAAAACACATCCTAATCAGAGTCTGACTAATTGGAGTAGTGTAGAAGAGAAGTTTCTGAATAGATTTTTCCCACCATCCCGTTACATCAAAGCAAAATCTGACATCACTTCTTTCAGACAAGGAGCATATGAACAATTTTGTGAAGCATAGGAGAAATTTAAATCACTGTTGAGAAGATGCCCAAATCATGGATTTGATGACGTTTCTCAGTTGAATATTTTCTATACTAGCTTGTGACATGATGCAAAGATGTTATTAGAGGCTGCAGCAAGAGGATCTATGTTGGATGTAGAAATTGATCATGCCACCAGAATTATTGATGCACTAGCCTTTACAGACCAACAAGCCCAACATGATAGACATTCAATTCAAAGGAAGGGAGTACTTGAACTTAACAGCTCATATGCTATCTTAGCCCATAATAAACTTATAACGCAACAAATTGAAGCATTGAACCAGAAGATAGAGAAATTACCTCAACAAATGCACACAGTACAATCTATTCTTAATCAAAAGTGTTGAACATTCAAGGACTTGATGTTGCAAATAATGATCATGAAGAATGTTGATTTTGATGATGATCCAAGAACTTAAAGACTTAGAGTATTGAAGATTGAAGATTGATGATTTCTGTATTGTAATAACTCTATTTTAGCTTGATTGAGTCCGTAATTTTAGAGTCTAAGATAGCCGGTACATAGTCTGTAACTTAGAAGCTTCAAAATGCTCAAATTTATCATGCAGGCTCGGCTTTAATCGATTAAATAGGTATATAATTGATTAAAACAGTGAGAAAACCATTTTCTGTCTAAAACTCACCGTTTTAATCGATTAAACAACAAAATAATCGATTATTCCGTACAGCTTCGCATAGCATAATCGATTATTTCACCAAATAATCGATTAAACCAGAGAGGATTGGGTTCCGACGTATTTGGCTCTGTTTTAATCGATTATTACTCCAAATAATCGATTATTTCAATCTGTTTCGATTTTAAACATCAAACAAACCCTATTTTCGAAAATCCAATTACCAAGAACCCTAGTTTCGAAATCCACAATTCCTAAACCCTAATTTCCCTACTTAAACTCTGCTTTGGCACTCGTAAAAGAAGAACAACCTTTTCCATACAAAAGTTAAGTGCTCGTGAGTGCCGAGAACTGTTTGTTGCAAGGAAAGGGGGCTTTCGAACCTGGTGTGGGCTAGAAGCGATAAGAATCACTAAGTGGAGTTCTTAGTGGATTGTGTGTTGTGCCGTCTCTCGGGGAAAGCTGTTCATCATCTCTTGTGGATTTCAAGAGAGGTGTATTCTCGATCTTTATCTCGTTCATTTGTAATCTGTTTGTAACAATTTGTTCTTAGTGACGAGCGTTAATCCTCTTTTGAGTGATTAAC